AGTTGAGTAAGTTTGTTATTTTCGTCTGTTATACTTCTGTAGACTTATTTCCATTAAAAGAAATCTTTACTTCAACACCATCTTTAACACCTTTTTCGATATATCGTTATTTTGCTTAATACATTTTTCATAAATACGCCATAACGATTTTCAAAAATATTAAAGCGATGATTTCTGTTCGAAAAATTTACTCTAATTTTAGAGATCACAAGAATAATCATTTGTGTAAATCAGAAAAATAATTAATAAATAAATACGATTCACTGTTCACTGTGTATTGTATTTTAAGTAAGTTTTATAGAAGTGGGATAACCTGCAGAACCGGCAGAGAAGAGGTCAAACAAGGAAAGTAACAGGACAGAAAGAACAGCTGCTAATCAGCGCAATAAGGAAAATCCAAAAACAGCTCTTTTTAAAAGAAAGTTTATTGTCTATTCAGAAACACCACGAACTGTCATTGAATAAGCTGAGTATTTCTCTAGGCTGTTTCACAAAAAATATTACACGAGCAGAGTTAACCAGAAAAAGTGAGGATAACATTTCCAAAAGAGATACGTAAAAGAAATTTTAGAAGAACAAAATGCTAAAAAACTATACTATGATCGTAAAAGAACAGATAATCTACCGCTCATAAAGTCTCGATAGAGCATTTATAGGATATATTGAAAATTTTTTGGAAGGTTAAGGTTCTAACAATAAAACTTAGTTGCAAAACGACACTAACAAGTTTATAGTTTCCATGCACAGAAGATTAGATGTGATCGTCTAAGTAAGATCAGCCCATTATTAAAAACACGCAAAAGTTTAATTTTTGAAATGATACGTGTGTCATTACTTTCTTTACAAAAAAAAAGAGTGTAATTTCAAATAGACCTGTTTTGCTACTGGATTTTAAAGTTTGACTTTAAGATCCAAATGTCTATTGAATTGACTTTAAAACTTTAGAGTTCCGTTGTTAAAGCTTCTGTAACCAACTATGTCTTACATTGATCATTGGTATGTTGATTTTCTTCTTTTTTCTGATGTCTTTACTATTATATTGTTCAGTAATGTTGTTAATTCAAAATTTTGTTTTACTTTTCCTGGTTTATGTTTGGGTTTTTTTTTCAATGCAGGTCTGCATAATTAAGGTTAACAGTTTTCTATTTCTATTATTTTATAGCGGGACAGTTTCAAATCGCAGCGCATATCGCTTTGATTTTAAAGATTCGAGATTCTAATAAAGATAGTTGAAGAGTTTCGGGACGCAACATATCAAAAAGCAGATCTATCCAACTTAAATCGGAATCAAGTCAACTCAAGTATCCAATCGCAAATTTTAGACTTAAATAACATATTTCCCTATCGAAGTATAGGTCTCCTCCACAGTATTTAGAATTCATTGAAAATTTCGTTGAAAATTTTCGAAAAACGAGACGATTGAGTTTTCTTTGAAGACCATGTTAGTTAAAGAAAGTTTGATTGTGTAATAACAGACCCTTCCGAAAAGGAACGTATGATCAGGTTATACATGATGCATATAATGGGTATTGAGATATACAATATATACCTCACCTAAAACACAACTTAAATTATTTGTGATATATAAAGGTGTAATACAAACTGTAACGGTGAATAAAAAAAACCGTTGTAACTAAAATTAAATATATTTAGGCCGTGTGCGAGTTCGAGTAAATTGATGGTAAATTGAGGGAAATAATAAATTATGTCGGTATGGCAGCGAATGTTGGTGTTTATCAGAATTTCGAGTAGGGTAAATTAGATAAAAATTAAATAAATTAGGTACTACCATTGTGAAAATTTTATAAAATGTTAAATAAATAAATAAATTCGAAAACTTTTAACTAAAAATAATAAATAAATGCAATAAATAAATAAATAAATATTTACATAAGTGCAGTGCAAAAAATCCCTAGGAAATTTCAGTTTACTTTACTTCAATTTACTCGAACTCGCACACGGCCATAAAAATATATTTTTGTTTTTAATAAGAACCCAGCGACGCTCATAAGTCTGAAGAAATATATACATATGATTCATTCGTCAAACCTTTTACAACGCAATATCTATTGAGTTTAAAGCCATCCATGTTGTAAGTGATGTTGTATAATTTTAAAAACAGATTTTGGTTGATAAGAAATCTAATAAATATGGTTTAACATGAACATTACATTAATACTTTATGTTATATATGTATATTGTATTGGCCCAAAATATTTAAATCATTAATACTTTAGGTTTTATTTAAAAGACTTCATTTTCTTCTATTTCAATTCAACGACAATCATTTTTTTTTATTTTGGTACAGTTGGAAATTTAAGTTCCAATCAGAAAAGAAGGTTTATGTTTAGATAAATTCATTTCTTTGGAACCCCCATCTCATACAAGCACAATATGGACTTTAAACTGAATTCTCCAGCCAACCAACGGGCGATAGCTTAACTTGAACAAAAACCAAAAACATTTGAAGATCAAGTGATATAATTTAGTTTATTCCACAGTTTTTTTATGTGCCAACCATTAAGAAAGCAAAAAAAAAAAAACAAACAAACAAAAAAAAAGACATGCAGTGAAAAATATATTGTTGACAAAAACATTTAGCAAACAAATAGAAAGAAAGTAGGATACGAGGCGATACAAAATTTGCAAAACAGCTATGGAGTGCGGGAAAGTGCGGTTGGAGACTGTAACAACAATGACGATGATGTGAGGTGTGTGTATGACAATGAATGAATTTAGTTGTAGCTTTTTGTAAGTAAGCAAAGTGTACACATTTTGTTGAAATGTTTGTATGTAGGAATGAATATATGAATCGCGTCGTCTGCTGCGTAGAATTATTTTTATTTTTGCTTATATTGAGTACACTCATTAACAGAAAACGTTTATATATGCGTATGAGTGTATGTATGTGTGTGTGTGTTTGACTACATTTGAGATTTGCGCTTAACATGTTTCGTCATGTCAAAAATTAGCAAAACAAATGACGACTTTGGCATGAAAAAATTAAAAAATTTAGGATAAGCTAATGGAAATTAAAAAACTCATTGCCTGCATTTCTATTATTTACTTTAATATTATACAAATTAAATTATTTCTTTTGGTTTTCTTTAATTTTCAAACAGTCATATTGCAATCTCATACGGTTTACATTTTTGTATATTTAATACATTTAATTGTTTATATGCTTGCATTTTTATTTTCAGGCAGACACTTTGGTGTCTAAAGCGGTACTGACCTTTGCCTAATTGAAATTTGTTTATTATCGGCGTTACCGAAAAAATTTTAGAAACCAACAAGTTAAAATGCATGCTTAAAAATATGTATACAATGTCTGAATAGTAGGCCATAGATGTACTTTTAAAAAAAACTTTTGCTCCTATCATTAATACAGATTTCATCACATTCATATCATTTTATTTATATAATTTATAGAACAAATTTATGAAATTTGCTTATTGTAAAAAAAAATCGGGTATTTATTTGATTAAATCAAATACATTAAGTAAATTAAATTTGCAAAGTTTTAAAAAGAAATTGCAAACAGTAATTAAAAAAATTATAGATACACACACGCCATAAACAAAATTCACCACATAACTGAAGCGGTGACGAGAAATTCAACATATTACGCGACACAAAGTGCAAAAACAAAAACAAAGCATTCCATGGTAAAGGTGAATATATTATATTGAAGCAATGTAAATGAATGCTCAACATGGCAAACGTTTTTATATCGAATAAGAAAACAATTAATAATAAATTGGTTACAAATAGCCAAAATATTTTATAAATTATCTAACTATATATTCACGCACTCAATTTAGTAAGCACAGCATAAGTGTTTAATTTATAAACAGCAGACATACATAACTATAGAATCAATATATTAAAAAATGCCGAATATATAAAAATTTCCATAACAAATTCTCATTAAAAATGCACTCATATATTTAAGTTCACTAGTACACAACTTATATTATTTTTATATAAAATAAATTATTACTTTTATTCATATTTATAAAGCACCGTAACAAAAAAATTTTTTTGCTGTTGTAATCCACCACTGCTCTTTAATTTCTGAATTCGGTTTTTTCTTTAATTAATTATGGCTTTTTCTTACGTCGTGCGCCAAGATTTATTACTTCTTTTATAAATAAACTTTAACTTTACGTTTACGCATTTTCTTCCACTAAATTATATTCTTATTAAATTATAATGGTGAAACTATTTATTTTAATTAAAAATCGACAACTTTTCACTTCACCGTATTCAACCGAATGCCTTCTATTTCGTTAACTAGTAACAACAGCGGGCAGAGAATGTGAGAAATTCGTCATTCGAAATCGCAGCCGCCATATTGGAAAACTGAAAAGCAATGAACAAATGAACATGCACATTCATTTCGTTGACAGATATTTCGCACTTGTAAATAAATTCGAATTTGTTGAAGTTGTGTTTTCACAAATTATTATTGTTTACATATAAAATTGCATGAACGTCAAATGCAACAAAATAAACACTATAGAAATAAGTAGATATATTTTAAAATGGTAGGATGCCAATTTCTAAATATAATAGAGTCTTCTGAAAATAAAAATATGAATTTTATATTTATTTATGCACAATCAAACACACATCTTAAAGCCATTAAACATAAAAATTGAACACTTGCGTCTTCGATAATTACGGTGCACTTATTTCATGCATTTCTGTACATAATTCATTGAAACTTTAATACTTACAATAAAAATGTACTTACTTCTATCAAAACACATTGAAATAAACAAATAATACGTATTTTGATTATGCAATAAAGAAATTTGACCAAAACATTAGGAAAGCAAATCTAACTAGGAAATGTAATAAAAAAAACTATGAAGCATAATGTCAAAATCGTCTTATGTCAAAGTAAGAAGCGATTTTAACAAATAAAACAGCTGCTGCAAATATAATTTCTCTTAAAGATACATAAATTTTTACTTTAACAGTATTTAATTTTTAATATGTTTTATTGGTAAATAATAAAATTATAAAAATGGCAAACGATTTAATATATAAGTATCAGAGTATTAAACAGAAATATACGGGTTCCAAAGAAGCAGATCTAGAATTGAACATCGAATGCTACAGCAGAGATTCAATTCAAGTGCAACTAACAAATCTAAACTATAACAAACAAAAACAAAATAAAATATGTAATATACTACTTACACTTTGCTTTTTAAGTACTTATACTACATTTAGATTTATATACTTTACAAAAAACCTTCAATTGTTTTGCGATCGTGAATGGTTGGCGTTTACCGCAATTTTGACATATCTTATGTATGTTGCTAAATCAATGTCAGACATAATAAAGAAAGGTACAAAACTCATCCAATTTCTGCTAAATATTTACCATTTTAAATTATCGTATAGAAAAACTATTGATATGTAATAATTTTGCATTGCAATTGGAAACAGAACGATGCTTTTCACGCAAATCCAATAGATTTATTTCTGCCTCAGATATTCATGATGTAGTCATAAACGAAGTCATTCAAGATGTAAGTTGAAAACAAAATTTGTTATACATAAATAATGTATATATAACTTTTTTATTACAGTTAGATGTACATTACATTCTAATGTTAAGAACAAAAAAACGTCTTTTTAATAAGACCCCAATTATTGTAATTTTTAATGTGAGTTTTTTTTTATTAATTCAAGCAAATTTTTATACAGTTTTCTTACAGAACTTACGACCATCGGTGGAATGCTTGGAGATGATTTATAATAATTTGAAAAAAATTTTTATAAACTCTGAAAATTCATGATAATTAATATTTCTACAATAAAATTAAATGGCAATTGCCAAAATACAAAATATTTTAACATAAAATAAAATCATTTATATTAATTGTAGACACTCTAGCGTTGCTTTAAAATCATTTATAACTTCGTCATCCTAGAACAAAATAAAAATATGAATATTGTATATATATATCAATCAATGATTCTTACTAACATTTCTCCTCGGTTCGGTAATTTCTAACTTAATCTGCGGTAAAGTTTTAGGATCTGGTAAGATAATTTCTGCTTGTGGAACACTCATTTCAACATTTAGCTAAAAATATTTTGTTAAAATATTATTATTTGAAAATTATCAACACATATATTACCAAATTTTTAATCTCTCTTTTATAAGTTAACTTAACAATTTTTTTAATATAACTTTGAGAGCGCAACACATTTACAGAATCTTGCAATGGCCGCAAGCGAAATATTTGTTGCAATTTTTCATCTGAAATGTATGGTTTTATGCATATATTATGTATAAGTACTTGAGAAATACTTACCCATTTAATAGTTTTTAAAAAATTAATTTAAATTTTAAATAGATGAATGTTTATTTAAATATACGAATATATAAGATATTAAATATTATTTATGTACGTTTTCTAAATTTCGAATATTTTGACGTTTTCATTAGCATTCGTTTAGGGTTACCAGGACTAAAATATTAAATAAACAACACGTTTATACGAAGCGGTTTTAAAGCATATTAAAAATGCATGTATTAGATCTTGTAAATATGTTTTCAAAGACATATTATGACCGTGTGCGAGTTTGAGTAAATTAAGGTAAAGTAAAATGAAATTTCCTAGGGATATTTTGCATTGCATTTATGTAAATATTTATTTATTTATATATATTACACTTATTTATTATTTTTGGTTAGGAGTTTTCAAATTTATTTACGTACAACAAACAATTTGAAGGTTTTTAAAATATATCAATATAACTGTCAACGCAACAATTGTCAAACCAAATTTGTCAAACTGTTTTAATAAGTTTTATATAAAATTTGAAATATATATGCACATTGAAAGCAAACAGTGTTGAACATTACTTGTGTTTTATTAAATTTGAAAATAAAATTGAATTCTTTTTTGTTTGTTTGTGATTTTATTATTATAAAGTTTAATATTTCTAACATCACTGCCTATTGTACAATGTCATTTTGTAAGTTTTTTAAAACAAATTTAGCAATGAATAATAGCATTGACAGACGGGAGCTAAATTATCATTATGGGGCTAAATTACAATTTATTTGCTCATTTAGCAGTTGTTAATGATCATTTATGGTCTTTAAATGACCGAATTTAACTCAATTTATTTATCATTTAGGTTTTTAGAAATGGTAATGCTGCATATGCAAGTGAAACGAAATAAAAAATGGAACAAATTTCAAGCAGTTCTTTGGTTGTCAAAGTCTAAACAATACAGATTTGAGAACAATGTTCTTCTTGCTATGAATTTAGTTTTCATAGTAAAAAGTTAATTTCAAAAGTTTACTTTCAATAATAACATTTTTACTTTCAAATTGAACGAACGGCGTCTTTTTACCCAAATTAAAGCGAATTTATTTTGAATTTAAAATTCTCTTGCTTTTTCAGTAACAAAAAAAAATATGATGCAGCAACTTCTTAATGTTAATATATACTGTCGGTCAGAGTATTTTTAAAATAATCATTTGAAGTTGCTTAATGATAATTTAGCGCGCTCGTCTGTAATATATCCAAACAGCATTAAGTAAATACGGCATAATTGACTTGAAGCACTTTATTATGTTTAACATAAACGAACAAAAAATTTTTCAATATGTGAAAAAGACAAAAGTGCAATATTTAATTAATCATTAATATTTCATATATTTTGTTAACTCCTCAATAGTTCTTTCTTTATTTCATATTATACAATTTTAGTATTGTTTGTAATTTATATATATGGTAATGTATTTTGTTTAATTTCATTTTCGAGGTAATTAACTGAGGTGGAATAGCGTACACAATCAATTTTTATTGCGCAAATATTTGGTAATTATGAAGAATACATAATAGATCTGTTCCACTAGCTACTCGTAGTACTTTAATTAACACTGTGTAATGCTACACAAACTTTACTCATACATTTTATTTGATTTAAAATTTTTTTTGGTGTGTAAATCAGCTGCTTTGGTTTGAATTTAAATTTTTGTATTGTGTTTTTGGGCGGCACTGGTGTTCTCACTAGACTTTACACAAAGCTGTTTCATAAAAATCTGTGTAAAGATCGAAATTTGGTACTTTATTTCTGTTACGTTCTCAGTTTATACTTTATCACAAATAAAGTTTATATATATTAATGAGTGAACGTTCAGATTATAATGAGCTCATTTTATGCAGTCGATATAACTTTTATAAACTTCATTTAACAATATACCACACAAAACAATTCTAAATGGAATTGATATATTAAATCTATTATATATTATTTTATATATCAATTACATATTCAATTTATAAATACAAAGATTTTACTAAATATTTACTTCTTCGGTGCCTTTGTTTACAGATCAGCTATGGCATTCGACATTCTTCGCCTTAAATGAGCTGATTTATTGATAATGAGCTCATTAACATGAAAGATTTTTGTATGGTAAATCATTCTCATTAGTGGCTATTATGAGCAAAACCACCTAAATGAGACAGTGTGAATGTGGTATTAAATTGTAATTTATTTAAGAATAAAAGTGTTACATCTAGTGAAGCACGCCTGGTTTTTGTAAACAGATGTGACGAAACAAAATGTAAACACCTCAAAAGTGACGTAATTTTGTTGATAAATATAGCATATTGGGACATAGGTCACGGAAAATTTTGGAATTTTCTATGAAGTTTTAATTTCTATATATTAAAAAATAAAATGTTTAAAAAGTTTTGTTTTGATGGTGTGTATAAATGCATCAATAAATTATTACTTATTAGATTTAAATGTAGTGTAATAAAAGCGAAACTAATAAATATGTTGACTAATGCAGAAATTTATAATTAAATTAATAAAAATTCTAAATATATTTTGAGTAAATAAGTGGAAATTGTGTTACTTTCAAAAAAATATTAATATTTTAATAATAAACTGAAGTAGTAAATAACAAACAAATTAAACAAGTCGGCATCAATTGAAGAACTTTGTACATTTTTTTTATTGTGGTTGTTGGTATAGCTGTGACCTTGTTAACAAAACGCAACACCTTACACATACATACATGCCTTTCGCCGGCTCAGATAAAAAATCATTTATAAATTGAATTGATTATTTTTTCGAAATTAAAATTTGCAGTAAAAATACGTTATTAAAATTTAATGTTCTTACTAATGTATTAGAGTAGAAACTGATTTTTTCTTCTTTTATAATAAATAATTAGTTCTTTGTTTTCAGAGCTTTTTAAATTAAACTAGGAAAACCAGTCAACATCTCAAATTTGTTTGTGATCTTTATTTCTAAGTAAACGTTAACATGAATCGCTCAGACTCTATCCGACGAGATCGCTCTTTCGACAGCGTACTCAACAAGTTTATGCGGATGCGATCTCAGAATAATGAAAGCTTCAGAGCGGCAATGTACAATTTCTTAATCGCGGCTGGAGTATGTGCGCTCGTTGCTGTGTGTTTCATACTTGGCCCTTTCGTCAGACCCTTGTTATGGGCGTTTTTAATGGGCGCTGTACTTTTTCCTTTCAAAAAGAAGCTGGCCGATTTACTTAATAGTTGGTTTGAACGTTTAGAAGCGCAAGATTCAAACGTTTTTGTCTCAATATGCTTGGGACCAATGGAAGCTACAGAACATTGTGGACGATTGTTGGTTGATTGGTTTCGTGAGCATTGGCAGCTTATAACCGCTGGATTCGGTATAGCTGCTAGCGTTAAATTGTTGATTGCGTATGCACCTAAAGGTTTTCTGTGTGCAGTATGGAAATTAATTGTATTTTCACATACAACCTTCGTAGATTTAATCAGTTATCTTAACATTTATTTGGTATGTATAAACAATAATACTAAATTATTTAAATTAAATTTTTACTAATTGGAATATTATTTGCAGTTAATTGTTATTGTATCTATTTATTTGACGTCAGTTTACTTTTTATGGAAACCAGAACTAAGTTCCCGTTTTGCTATTTTTGGACAATTGCTTTGGGTGGCCATTGTCACTTATGCATGCAGCTTCTTAGGAGCATTTCAAGTACCTGTATTAATTGTAATAATGATTTATGTAATTGTTTCTATTGGTTATCATCTACAAATGAACGAGGATTCGAGCACATTAGTGCAAAAATTAAAAAAACTGTTAAACAAAAACGATTTCGAGAAATCCATGGCAATTATAGCAGAGAAAAAGCAAAGCTTGCATTCTGACATTGAAGATATATCATTAAGCGAGACAATGGATTCTGTAGAAACAATCGAACCTAGCATAGTTAATAATGAACCAAATATAAGCGATAATTACTTTAAGTTTCTCTTCTATGCATGTATTACAACATTTTTATATCGTAACGCATGGATGTGTATATTGGCAGCAATTCCAATTTCATTGCATCTACTCAACACCTTAGGAGATATAACTGGCTTAAAGGGATTTATTTACAGTAAACTCAATGATTTTTATAATAATATTAAGGTTATTATTGTTTAAAATATTTTTAATATATTTTATATTTAATGAAATCATTTTCAAAACTATTTTGCAGTCTTGGACAATTGAACATCACTCCGCAATTTTGCCATTGTGTTTACCAGGCATTTTGGAATTAAATTACAAAATCAATGGCATTGTCAGAAATTCGCTGAAATCTTCTGTTGATTTGGTTACGTCAGTTTTAATGATCATACTTATGTTACTCATTATTGTCTTTTTAAGTGTATTCTTTTGCGTTAACATATATTCAGAAACTATTGAAGTTGCATATATGGGAAAAGATCTCATTAATAAAACTATTACCAACCGACCGGAATTAGTGGATATATTACCAGCTAATATACAATCCTCACTAGATGATGCATTAGATAATGCACATCACTATGGACGAAGAAAAATAGAAGCATATATAAATGATTGGTTAGCTGAAGCTGATCCAGTGCATGCAACGAAATTAAGAGACCAAATCTTAGATGTTTGGGATCGTTTGATACAATATTGGATTGATTTCAATAAATCCGATACAAGTTATGGACCACGTGTGCCGACAGAAGCACTAAAAAGTACTTTTGGTGAAATTGTTGATAATCCTGGTAAGTAAAAGTTTATTATTAACAAAATTGCTATAATTAATCCGCAACTAAATGTGTTTGTGTGCGTTAAAACTAACAATATTTGTAAATTTTGTAAATATTGTACACATTGCCAAAAGTAAAAAAAAAATCATAACTAAATTAACATTTTTAACTGTCCAAATGTTATCTGTCTTTGGTGTTTAATAACAATATATAAGCTTTTGCACATTAATCATTAAAGTTTCATACACATAATTGTCTTAATTTAAAGACTTTCCTGATAACAATTGCATTTTCAACTCTAACGACTAAAATATCTTAACGGTGAGAAGATACATTTATAAAGTATATGTGATGGAATCCATATTTTAACATTCTTAAAATTTAATTTAACATATAATTGAATATATTTATTTATAAATACTCAAGTGTTTATCACAGTAGCAATATAGACACAATTAAATTACTTTTGGAATACTATATCTTCTTCACATTAAACTTATTTTCACACAAATCGATCTATAAACTGCTGCAAAATGCATAGTCTCATTAATTAATTAACAATATTAGTCATTTCAAAATATATATACTTAATAACAACAATTTTATTTGTTTGGGATATTAAAACTTAATTCTAATATCCCTTAATGAGAGTTTTAGAACAATATATTGTTTGGGATATTAAAACTCAATTCTAATATCCCTTAGAGTTTTGGAACAATATGTCACATATGTCTTTCAAAATAAATATTAACGAAAGTTTCAGGTAAAGATATCGCAGATTTTAATAAGTCACAATAAGCTAAATGTAAGAATAAGTCACTGTAATTAGTACACATATATAAGACTATGTATAGGACTATGATATAATTTCATTACTGTTATCAACTTGATCATTGAGCGCATGACTCCATTATAACTAATTTTAAATCTTTGGAGTTCAAGATAAGAAAGAAATTACAGAGTATTGCTGATTAACCAAAATTCAAAGGAGGTTTGTTTGATTGGCTTCATTGTCACAAAAATTGTATCTGCCATTCAAGTTTTATTACTACACACTCATAGATAAGTTTTAAAATGAGATTTATAAAGACACCTTGCGTTGTTAATAAATAAAAATGCTTTTTTAATGCACAAAAATACTGAGTAACAAAAATTTTTAACGAAGGAAGATATTTACAATTACTTACTAAGTGGGCCGTTACAGACATGAGTCGGTTTTGTCCGCGTTCAGTTACCTCTGTCACACAGCCCTATCAGTGGGTTGTTGCGCGAGTTGGTAGTATCGACAGATATTTTCAATTGAGATGATAAAATTGACATAAACACATTTAATTCCCTCTATGAAACTCCTTACCCACTCTATATATCACCTCATCACTGCATGTTTTTGCTAACAAAGTGCAATGTGTTTTTAATAAAGGACATTTTAAAGAGCTAGTTTTAGTGGCGAAACAGGGTATCATCGGCTGGGCGCAGAGTAACACACAAACAATATTGGAAGTAGCAGAATCACTATGGCATATAATACGTACAAACCTTTCAATGATTATGTCCTTTACGGGTGATATACTTTCATTACTGTTATCTGGTGGACAAGCATGTATTGAATTTATACTTGATATGGTAAATATATTTATATACATTTATTATATTAAAATGAATATAAATAAATATTATTTTCTTTATTTAGATCGTTTTCTTTACTGCTCTATTCTATTTATTGGCTAGTAGCAATGTTCAATATGCACCTTTGCAGATAACAAAGTATCTTGGATTTTCATCTTCGGGCACAAAAATTGCTGATGCTTTGGATAATTCAATTTCTGGAGTTTTAATTTCTTTATTTAAATGCTCTATTTTCACGTGTCTTTTTACTTGGTTTATGCATACCATATGTGGTGCACGTATTGTATTTTTACCGGCAGCATTAGCCGCTGTTCTTTCTGCTGCACCATTTTTGGGTAGTTACTGGTGTGCACTGCCTGCGTTCTTGGAATTATGGCTAGCACAGGATCGATTTTATGCAGGCATTTTCTTATTTTTAATGCAATTTTTTGTGCCACCTTATTTTGAAGCAGCAATATATTCAGAAATGAAAGGGTAAGTTTTACAAATAAACTAAATGTTATTTAAAAGAGTCTTCTTTACGTTACTGATAGTTTATTTTAAAATCTTTCGTATAGATAATACATTCATTAATTATCATTTCGAAATATATTTCAATAAAATTTATTTTAATCGGGCTTAACGTCGGTACACAGAAGACGTTTTACGCAGTAGTCCGAAATATTTGTACAAAAAATAATTTTTTAAGATATACGAATATTAATAATATTAACAAAAATTTGATAAATGTTACTTATTATCACTTATTAGTAATCTTTAGCCTGGTTAAATTTAATTTTATAATTTATAAATGAAATAATTCCCTATACTCGTATTATTTAATATTATTAATAATATTTTACTTTACTAGTGGCGGTCATCCTTATCTAACTGGTTTAGCTATAGCTGGTGGCATGTACTGGTTTGGCTGGCAAGGCGCGATATTTGGACCACTTATGCTGTGTTTCTTTATTGGCATGGTTGAAATTGCTGCTGTTGCAATGCGCTCCAATGATGATACAAGGTCAGTTTAAGATATAAAAATTAAGAAAAAGTATTTTTAATTTATGTAAGTGATTTATAATAAGTATTGCTTTAATGTTATCTATTTTAAGCGTGAAATGCTAGTTTTAATAGAGCATATAAGATAAATTGTTAGTTTGATAGAGACATGAGATTCTAAGAGGAACAACACTAAAGTAGATAAACTAAATGTTTATAATTATAATTTTTTAAGCTTTTTAAATATTTTGTTCATTTGCAGACGTAGTTCAGATGAAGATACACGCACGACGTGAGTTGATTTAAAGAACAACGCATTTTATTGATGTTAAATGAAATCAAATCAAAATCAAATTAATTCTGTTTTATTTTCATGAATTCAATATTGGCTGCGTTTTTGAAATTTTATGTTTCACTTAATTATACAAAAATTTCTCATATATCATATTTTCTCTGACAATTTCTAACAAAAATCAATTTACTTCGGCTTATTAAAAATTAATTATATTAATTTTTCTTTTATTTTTTTTCCTTACGCATTCCTTGTTTTGTTTTTTTTCTTTAGTGCACGCAGACATTCGTTGTATGATTTTAATTAATTAACGCATTTAGTCAACAGCAAATTCTTATGAAATTCTACGATTTAAGTACGTCTACAAAGCAACTGTAATAGAAAATTACCTCGAATTTTGTTAATTAACTAATATATACTACTGTTAATACTAAAACAAAGGACACTCTACTAAATCACGTTACTAATTTACTAACATTATATTTAACAATGAATATTGCATAAAAACAGACTTGATTTTGATGTAGATTATACATGTTAAAATATGTATTTCTAATAACTAAATAAACTAAATAGTTATATATAATAGTATTAATTAAATATTTGTTAATTATGCAAAAAAGATTTGCACTGATAAAATATATGTCCTAAACCCCGTGTATCTAAGTATTACGAATAGATATATATATAATATTATATATATTAATTGTTTTGCAATAAACAATCAATGTTTCCAATCAATGTCATAATGTAAATAATAAACTAAAATTTAGAATTTTTTTTAATGATTATATGAATGTTTACTAAAATTAAGTTTTACTCTTCCTATACAATTTTAATTGCAGAATAATATTTCATTTTTATATAAAGCGATCTTCCTTGTAATAAATATTATAAATCTAAATAATATTAAATTCCATATACTTTTATGTTGATAATAATGAAAAGCGAAACTAAATAATTATATTTTCTTATATATTTTTTTTTTAATAAATAATGGCAATATTTTTATACTTTCTAATTTAAGTTAAAGTTTTATATATTTAAAATTAAGCTTGTAACATCAAAAATATTTTAAAATCTAACTGTATATTAACAAACATATTTTGGAAGCAAATGTTCTGATAATACTGTACATAATATGTCAAGAAAATGTTTGCTATATGCGTTTTATAATAATAATTAATTGATTTTATGAATATCTTTATTATTATGTGACTATTTTGTTTTAAAGTTTTTTATTACTTAATATTTTTTATACAAAACCAGATAAATAGAAGTTAAACTTAAAAAATTACTTGTCTTACAAAAGTGAATAAATCACTGATTACGAATTATTATTAAAGCGTCAGTGTAGAATACAACAATTCTACTATATGTAAATGTCAGTCTACTCATACAAGTAGTCACTGCTCCTCTGACCTCAAATCAGTGTTCAGTTTAATGGCTTGACGTATTCAAACATTACAATATTCGAACTCCCCTGGTATATTTGAATTCGAATATTTGGTGCAAACACCAAACATATTATAACTACTCAAGCAAATTTAATTCAGTTCTTAAATTTTTTTTAAACCTCAATGTGCCTATTTAAAAAGTTTTTATTAATTTTATAAATATATTCAAAATCGAACATTTGAAGCTAACACTTTTAATGTTTGAACTGCTTGAATAAGTTCTAGAGACTTGGGCAGCTCATCCACTTTATTTCAAAAACTTTCTGTGCTTATTTAATACGTTCTATTAATATTCTAAATACAAGGTTAATGAATCATTATATGTATTTTTTCCCTCTTTGTTATCCCGAAGAACTTGTCTATTCCAATATTATCATAAAAAAGAATCTCCTTGTCACAATTGTGTTTGTTATTCTATTAATTTTTTTTCTATTAAAAATATTTTATATATTTCATAAAACAGATGTATTAGAATAGTATTGTATTATTATACGAATTAATTTAAAACACAACCATCGAATAAAAGATAATTAATATACATTACTGTTATATTCTTTCAAGTACCGTCCGTTCTTTTTAAGTATATCTCGTAACCAGTAAAAAATTAATTGTAGATTATATTACTTTATATATTCAAAGATAATATATATAATTAAATATAAAATTTCTTACAAAAAATATATAATAAGACATATTTTTTTATTTAACTATAACAACGATAAATGCATTTAAATATAAAAATTAATTTTTATTCGAGATCTATGGTCTTATTTTCGTTCTCTCTTCAATATCAGAACATTTGTTTTTTGCTTATGAAAACTAATAGTTTATAATTTTTATAATGTTTATATACCACACTAAGCTTTATATTTTATATGTCCAAATAAAATGCATAACATATAAGAATTGGTTTTTTATTAGTATTCATATTAAATAAATAAATTTTATATTAAAATTAGCAGCAATACCGAAGTAGTCGATGTAATCGCCGACCTGGTCTCAAGCAGCATGAATGCAAAAATGGGAACTACAAAAAAATTAAATATAGAAATTACGAATAGTGATTCACAAGATCACAATGCAAATCCGTTACTTAATCGTTATCATGAAGATATTAAGGTTTCCAATAAAAATGATTTATCAACGAAACCAAAACCATCTGTGGGTGGAGAAAAACTTGTAAATAAATTATTACCAAAGCATAATAAACAAATAAATATTTCGGATAAAGTTGATGTGCCAAAAGATTCAATACCTATTGTAGAGGAACCTAAAGTTGTGAACAAATTATTGCCAAATTATGTTGACCAAGAAAATATTCCGGACAGTGTTGATCTACCAACAGAATCAAAAACTACTATAGATAATGTAAAATTTATTCCTCAAACAAATACTATAAGTTCTACCGTACCTTCGGAAAGAGTTGAACTTAAGATTATATCAAAAATTATAGTGCCACAAAGTGATCAAATTAATTATTGATTTATCTGTAATTTAAGTACAAAATAAAATTTTGTAGCTTATTTATATGACAATTTATGTATAATTGCATTATATTATGCATTTCTAATAGATTAAATAAACAATATTTAATGAGAGTAAAAAAATATTTTTATAAAATTTTTATTTATAGATGTATATAAAATATATAACTAAATATTATTTTGTTAAAAAACAAAAAACACGAATAAATATTTTTGAATTTAAGCATTTTCACTTTAAAAATTGCATTGAATCCTCCATTATTTATTGACAATGTTCCATAAGAAGTACTACAATTATGATTATTACAAATTAAAAAATAGAAAAATTACAAATAAGTTAATAAAAATTATATATATCTTTAACTTATATATAGTGATTTTATTAATTTTCATTTAACAAATTTTGAGAAGATATAAAAGTATATAACTATTCCTAGATAATGTTCAAAATAGATAAATGTTCTGGAACTATTGGCGTCAATTATATATGAATTTCAAACAAAATTATTTAAACAAATTTTTTTATTAAATTTAATTTTTATTAAAGGAAGTTAGGACTAAATTGCGTGACAATAGCTAGGATTACGTGACAATAGTTGCGTTTCAGCAAACATGATCCGCTCAATTTTACATGCAAAACAAAAACAATGGGGTGAACCAGCAATTGATCTGGTTCACTTTCTGGTTCAATGTGGAATGTATGTAAGAGATAAAAGTGGAACGTATTTTAATGCAAATGAGGTTGGCAATGTGACGCAACGGTGTAGTAAAATTATAAACAAATCTACATATATATTTATTTATTATTGATTTTATTTATTTATTATTTATTTTATGCACTTATTTATTTAATATGTCGTTATTATTTACTTCTTTGTTTAAAGTAATATTTTAACTATTACTATAATTAAAATTATTACTTTATTTATTTACGTTTTATTATTATTGAAAAAGTGTTGTTTGATAATTTATTAAAATCAATTAATTTGAAATGAATATATATAAATGAAGTTGAATACATTTATTTAATTAAAACAGAACAATACATAAGGAATCAGGCTCTCCAATATAAACGTTTATAAAAAAACCATTTTCATCGCAAACTACCTGCAAGATTAAGCCATAGTCATGCTTCCTTTTGAAATAAGCCTATTTGCTATGGTGTGGTGCATTTATATTTACATGTGTACTGTCTATGCAACCAATTACGAACGGAAATTTTTTCGAAGTTTCCACTTTTGCATTATTAGCAAGTGCGGATTTTATAAGTTAGTGTCCAATTGATATACGCTAAACACTAGTTCTTTTAATTATTCTCTATACAGAAGCTCTTGGTATGCCAAAACAAATACCAAATTCGCAAAAAGTATCATATATGCCATATACCACAAAAATATATAAAATTCCTTCATTGCTCTCGTCCGATTGTGATCATCACGGTTATTATGCATTCGCTGATTGGAATTTATTAACAAATCTATTAAAAAATGAAACATAATTAATATATAGCAATTGTATTTTTTATGCGCAAATACCAATCAAATAATCTTTAACGGAAGAATTATTGATCGTTTCCATAAAATTTCCACTATATCCATGCTGATGCACTTCATCCCTTGAACTTAATACACTTGAACTAGTATTTAAAAAGGGAATGGAAGAGTCAGTTTTGCTCGATGATTCTAATAAAATCTGCAATTTTCATTTATTTACTATAGAATTAAATATAAGTTTTAAAGTAAATACTAAATAAAAACTTACATTTCATACTTCAGACATTTCAACAGATTTTATTTATTTTCCATTTTTTAGATTTTTTGTATTTAAAATTTCTCACTTATTTTTTTAGCGCCAAAATTATTCACATAAATCAAAAAATTTTGTGCACAAACCCAACTGGCATATTTCATGCGTTGCCAATTATTTTCAAACGTGATCCGTATCGTTTCAGCAAAGATGATCCAGATCATTGAGCGGATCATGTTTGCTGAAACGCAGCTAATAATATATTCATAACATTCATTCATACATATATACTTGAGCATAAAAAATAAAATTATGTCTTTTACGGGTGATATACTTTCATTACTGTTATCTGGTGGACAAGCATATATAGAATTTATAGTTGATATGGGAGAGATGGGATTCCTACTAATTTTTCATGTAATTCTTTTCAGCAATTTACTAACTTTTTGTAAACGCCCCCTGTGATTTTTTTTCGCAAGTGTTGATTTTATAATGGCAACTGAAGGCCTTGACACCAAATCAAAATTGATTCTTTTCCATATGTAGTCTTTTAAAATTTTTTTTTAAAATTTTTTTGAATTTTAAGTAGCTGAAAATACCTTTCAGTGTGTGGAGCAGTGGCTTAACCGTTTGGATGAGCACGGATAGCATGCGATATCTGCTAAAAAACTTATAATTATAATAGAATTATTTATAAATTACTTTCTAATTCAACACACCCAGGTAGATGTGTTGATGATGTACTGAGAGAAAGTTTAGACAGTAATAGAAAATGTGATTGCAAAGATAAAATAAATTGCTTTAAATGCATCTGTGGAAACAATGAAAAATAATTCAATTCTTTCTGAACTGTACGCATCACCTTATGCAAGGTGTTTTGCAAGAATGATAGTCAGCACTTGCCATCATTATTCCGATATTGTAAAGACTCCTTATCAATGTGCTATAATTTAATAAGAGATGATATGGGTTTCGAGCTGCATGCATATCTAGTATATATCGATGTCCAAGTCTGCAATCATTTAACTCCCATTGTCAAAAATGTGTCACAATATAAAAAGTGCAAGTGCTCTTTAATAATGGATGAAATTTCGGTGAGATCTGATCTAAAGTACAATGATAAATCAGATTATATAGATCGATTTGTTGATTTTGGGAATAATTGTAGAAAAAATATTGTTGCCAATAAATGATTAATTTTTATGTTGAAAGCAACTTTTAATAGTTGGAAGTTAACACTTAGATATTATCTAACTCAACTACTAGATAGAGAGAGAGTATTATTTATATTCTCTAGTATGTGTATGTGGATTAAAACCTTTTATTATTCCAGGAACTGCACTAAAGAAAATGATCTATGAAAATTTAGATAGTTTTTTTTTTCTTAATTTATAAATTATTTATTAAGTCTTTCATTTAGAAACTAACAATAAGTGAATCAAATCTTAAAACTAAATTTATTTTTTCCCCAGGCCATTGCTTTGGAATAAACTATTGAGAAATTAAATTATTTATAATAAATTAAGATTAAAAATTAAAATTTAAATTAAAATTAAAACTAATATTAAAACTAAAATTAGATTAAAATTAAAATCAATTCAAAAATCACATTCAATTCAATTAAATAAAATTTATAATATTTTAAATCAAATAAAAATTTAGAAAGTTGGCAGATGTTGATAGTGTCTTTCTTTTTTAAACGTTTGTTCTCTTTATTCAGAAGCAGCTTGTAAGCTGATTGGTTAGGGTGATCTTCTAACTTTAAGAGGTACTGACGGCTACATCGAGCAGTTTCTTCTATCACTGTTGTTACGCCCAAATCTCTATGAAGGTTAGCATTTTTTATACACCACGGTGCACCTGTTATCATTCTTAGGATTTTAGATTACAGCCTTTGCAGTTTTTCAATATTTGATAGCATCGCTGTTCCCCACAGGTGAATTCCGTAACTCCATATAGGTTTTGTTATCGACTTGTATAGCAGAATTTTGTATTCATTTGGTAGCTTAGAAGACATGTCCATAACCCAATGCAATGAACTTAGTTTCATATTTATTTGTGTCTTTTTTCCCTCTATGTGTTTGTTTCAGGTTAAGCGTCACTCTAGATGTATCCCTAAATATTTTAAATAGTCGCTCGAAGAAACTTTTTGTTCATTTATTGAAATATTGGGACAGTTGTCTGGTCTTAAGCCAATTTATACATGGGTACATTTTAGTTCATTGACTTTGATATGCCATACTGATAGGCATTGCTAAAGTTGGTGAACATGATTTTGAAGCATGCGTTGTGCAATTGCGTCAGCAAAGGTTGCAGTTAAAGTGTTTTCCGAAGTTGGCGTATCACTTGTATACAGTAGATATAATAGCGGACCTATTACACTTTCTTGTGGAACTCCTGCTTTGATAGGACAAGGTTCTGAAACAAAATCTTTATATCTTAAACTAAAACTTCTTTTGCTTAAGTAGTTTTTTAACAAAAGGTGAGTATTAGCTGGCATGAGAGTTGTAATTTTATGTATTAAGTCTTCGTGCCATGCTTTATCAAACACTTGGGCTACATCTATAAATATAGAAGTGCAGTATTGTTTATTATCAAATGAGTTTCTAACGAATGATATAATACGATGGATTTATTCAGTTGTACAATATTTAGCTCTGAAGTCGAATTGATGTTTCGGAATTATTTCGTTAGCGGAGAGTATTGGTATTATTTTTGCTATAAGCAGCTTTTCAAATATTTTTGATAATACTGGAAGAATGCTAATTGGTTGTAACATTCTAATTTGGTTTTGTCCTTTCCAGCTTTAGGTATCATTGTTATGACATTTTCCAAAGTTTGGGATAATAACCTGTCCGTAAGATAACGTTAAATTAATGCCTGAGATGTAAAATGGCACATTGTGGTAACTGTTTCACCATTGCAACTGAGATTTTATCAGATCCTGATGCGTTTTTCGCATTGAGATCTTTTATAATTTTAAAGATATTTTCTAATTTAAAGATAATTGGACTGCTCGAGAGATGTAGGTTTATTATTGGTAAAGAGGTGTTATTTGAAGCATCATTTGGAGTAAATACATTTTTCAAGTGTTATAGAAATATGTCCTCTTTTTCAGAGCCTCTTCGTGCTCAGTCACCATTTTCTAGTCTGAGAGGAGATTCATGCTGGATAGGCTGTTTGAGGTACTTTATTGCCGTCCAAAGTGAATAGTCAGTTTAATTATTAGGTGCCAAATTGTATAGAAAATTGTCTAGGGATT